ATATATATATATATATATATGATAAGAGGTATAGCTTCAAAACTTTTATATTAATTAAACATTAATTGTCAATAGGCTATCAAAATCGGCACTATAAAACAATAATGAGCTAATATAAATTCAAAACTATTTATTTTTAAATATAGTTTTGAATTTATATATATATATAAGAAAGTGATATACTTATAATAATTATTCATAGATCACACGGCTTTACAATATATGAATTAATTGGAAGTTGATTTAATAAATAAAATTAAATATGTAATTTATGTTGGAGGTATAAACATTGATTTGTTAAATGAAGCAAAATATATTACCGATTAGAATGACTTAATGACAGTGTTTGGTTTTGGATCATAACTATAAATGAAGCAATTAGAGAGGTAAACCACTCAATTTCATATTTGTAAGACAAATTAGAGAACAAAATTTATGTAGCAATTTTAAGAATAATAAAAGATCATTATGCTATAGCATTAATAGTAAACATGCTGGAAAATTACATAATATAGATGGTTTATGGAAAAAAAAGCGATCACATTTTAAAACAAAATCTAAGTAAAATCAGTATGGAATGAATATTATTTGTATAGATATTAATAACGCATATCAACTACTTATAAAAAATATTAAAGAAAAAATCAAATCATTATGTAACAATGTAAAATATGCAAACTGAAAAACAATGGACCACTAATGAAATAATAGATTTGATAAAGTAATATAATATATAAGAAGCATTAATTTAATAATTAGCACATTGTGTTCCTTTGTGCTTAACAACAAACTAAATCAAAAGTTATGAACAAGAAGCCATGAGTACTATAAAATGAATCTTCAAAATGTGAAACCAATAGAATTTTAATATGCCAATTGATGAAGAAAATAAGGAAATAATATTACCTGATTGTGCAGATAGTGACAGAAGAAAATATAATGAAGCAATCAGAAATTTAGCAAATAAAAATAATAAATACGACAGAAAAATTTGAAAATCAAATTGATAATGAACCATGTAATATAAAGAGGCACAATTATTCCGTGTATTTATTTTCTTCATATAATGAGGAAGTGAAAACTATAGTTATGAGAAAAGTTGAGTAGATAATGGAATTTCAGTAGGAATATATAAATTTTATCGTAGAGCCATAGGTATATATATATAATTTACCTATTACAGTAACAGCGTTTCCAGAGAAGCTCAAAATGGTATGGTAATTCCAATTGATATAAAAAATGAAAGGAATAATTGTATAAATTATAGACCTATTTCATTACTATCGACATATTCTAAAATATTAGAAAAAATAGTGAAAGCCAGGTTGACTAGATTTTTAAGCAAACTCAATTTTATCTCTAAAAATCAATGTCCCCAGCCCAGTGAGACAACGGTAAGTTTATCGACTTACAACTCCAAAATCCGGGGTTTGATTCCCTACGGTTGACAAAGCAGACAGCCCATTGTGGCTTTGCTCTAAAGCAAATAACTATTTAACTGAAACTCAATATCGCTTTTAAGAAGGATTGTGGTATTTTTAGGTGAAACTTGACTTTCTGATAAGTATCAGATAGGCAAATTCATAAATAACAACAGAAAGCGTGCCTGAATTCAACAGGTAAACTCATTTTTTTTGTCTAGTCAACAGCAACATTTCATGACATTTATTCCTTCACAACATTGGTCGGCTGTTACATTCGGTCAACTTCATATTCCGCCTCCAAAGGATATTAAAGTGCCATTCATTATAACCGTATGCTATGTATTAC